GCTTCCCAAAGTACACACTGCCGACGCAAGTCTCTTACGAACTGCAATGGGCTCAGTGTGCACTTGCTTGGCCTCGTTGGCTAGTCAAGCAGCTTCAAATTGACAAGCACCGATAAAAGTGGACAGATTGGCAAAAGATGGCCTGCATGGCTCTTCTGCAGACCGTACTTTACAGCTGCGTCGGCGAGATCCTGCCGTTTGGCTTCAGAGGACTTCAGCACGGAACAAATCTCTGCCACATGTTTGTAAAAAGCTGCGGCTTTGCCACGAAACTGGCCCTGATGCTTCTTGAGCCATTTGTCAACAGCATCTTGGGTGATCGAAGAAGGCACTGAGCTCGGCTGAGTCACTTTCTCTACTATCTGATCAGCCGAAGTCTTGGCTGACGCCGTCGGTAGTGCAGGAGCTGTGTGGCTCTGTGCACCTCGCGGCTTCTTATCAGGAAGTCAGGGCCAGGCCAGCCTGTCCGAGTTTGCGCTTGGCCCCTCACCTTCTGGCGTTTGTGACTTGGCTCGGTGATCGGCGGTGAGTTCGCCTTGATCGTTGAAACACTTTCGCCAAGCAGCGGTTGCATCAACCGCCGGGCCGTGCACGTTGGCTGCCACGCCATCTAAATCGATGCGATCCTGCCGGATATGTCGGAGCGTTGGAAACAAAGACTGCTTCAGAAATCGATTTGACAAACACTATGCTCTGGAATTCTCCGTTGGATAAGCTTCGGAGACTGAAATCATCGAGCCCCTTTCGCGTCAGTTCAGTCACACAAAGGTTCGCGATAGCCTTGCCAGCAAGTCCACTTTTTGTGGACCATGGTCTCGATAGAATGTTTCGAAAGAACTTCTTGTTCGACACAGGATTGGTGTCGCAGCACTCCCAGTCCGGGGCAAAAGACGAAGGAATTGAAACATTTCCACTCGGCACCGACGATTGCGAAGGTGGCGATGATCCCGAGTAGTTACTGGGTCCTCGTTGCCAATCACGGTTGTTCCAACCCGACGAACCATTCTTATCCCAAGACGAACTTGCCCATGACGAAGTGGACCAGTCTCGATCAAGGTTCCACGACATGATTCTATGGGCGATCCTAATGGGATTTTGTCTCGGAGCTGAGGTCGTGGTCTGCGGACAGCACAGCTGGTGGTTCCATCGGATCTGGAAAAGTCAAGACCTGCAATGCAACCTGGCATCGAAAGCTGACATGAGGTCAGTAACGAAGAAAACATCGCGACAGAGGAAATCGGATGCCGGCACCATCAGAGCTGAGGTTTCGGTCGTAGCTGGCGGCTCCACTTCGGGAACCAATCAATGCATCCCTGCCTTTATCGTTTGTAACCTGGCAAGTACTTGCACGGGCTGACTGCAACGCAGGTAGCACGATAAACGAATACAAGACAAGCTCGCAACTACCTGGTACACACCCAGGCATCCATCTCGCAGTCACTCATCAATTGATTATCAAGCACTGCTTGATGTATCACGAAAGCATTAAGCTTTCAGGGGTTCCGGTACCTGTCTGGCCTCGAGGCTCATCTTCAAAAGTGTGCCATGTTTCTTGTACAAGGCAACTGCACCCAAAGTTGCAATCCAAACATCACTAACATGCACATGACTGTGGCAATCACTACTGAGTCCCCAAGCTGCCACAACTGTGACCCACGAGCGACTCTTTGCAGGTACACGAGAATGGTCAGTTCACGCTTCCCACTCATGTCCACAGCTTCGTTGCATATGGTAGGACATGAGTGCCACATGCCCCTGCAAGAATGCAACTGACCTTGTTCAGAGATGTTTCCGTATCAGCATTGTTCGACAGTATTGCAAACACTCTGGGTCCCCTTAGTAACACAGGTCCGCACACACAGACACACACCCGCGCGCGCGCGCGCACACGCACAACCTGGTACAAAACGACCGAAAATCTATCGGGGCACCAAGCTTGCAATGCCAGCACTGCTGGATGTGTATCGGGGTTCACTTGTAACTTCCAACTACCTCAGAATCGGGGCTCAGAACGGGCTCCCATGTCCTGTCCATCCAGCTGCGATGCAACATCCTGCATGCAGCAAAACAATGCGCTGACATCCACGTGCTCCTCAAGCAACATGTCTTTCTTGGGAAATACATGCTGGTGTCTGCGAACCTGCTCAACAGATTCCTGAATGACCTGGAGAACAATGCGACTTGCATTTCACAGTCCTGTGCTTTGCTTTGCCACCCGTTGCCACAGAGTGAACTGTCAAGCGTCGGAATGGAGCTTGTCAGGTCCTGAGTAGCACCAGCAGAATCGAAGAGCCGCAGCAGCTACAGTCGCCTCTACCAGCTCCCGCCCGTGCTCCTCGAGGCGACTCGCCAAACCCAGCAGCGATGTGGGCAGAGGTGCAGCGCCTTCCAGACTCGCCCTCTGTTGCGTGCGGGGGCCGGGAGGGCAGCATCATCCGTCAGTCGGCGCCTGCCACTGGCACAGGTCCGGTGTCTGCGTTCACAAAGCTGCTGAAGCTCGCGCTTCGCTCCTGAAAGCACTGCTATCAGATCCCTGGATATCCAGCCCGACCTTCTGGGCATGCCGTCATGTGGTAATGAGCCCTAGTACGTTTCTCCGCGACTGCGCAGTCCTCCAGAATGGATCGCATTCCCTCAATGCCCATGTCAGCGTAACCTGCAGCATCGAGAACACCACGCACGTGAGAGGTTGAGGCAGGCTCGTCTGCTGTGAAGCAAGCGTGGTGCGGCCCCTTCTTTTGCCGTGGCCTAAGGGTTTGTAAAAGCTGATAGTGTCTGATCTTGGATTGTGTGGCGAAGGCAGTCGCGCATCCTCCAAGGGGAAATGGTGCGAGGCGATTCCCTCGCAGCGTCAGATTGACGAAGGCACAGCCTGCTTTGAGCAGTCTGGTCGACTGCAAAGTCAATCTCGGTTGCACCGCATTAAAATTTCTGATCCTTGGTTATGCACGCTGCTGAAGAGATGTACTACGTGCCCAGCGTGCTAGGCCCTGCTAACCAATAGAAAACTTCTTTGGGATAGCCGGAAGGTACCCTTTAACTACAAGCGCAGCGGTCTAGCACGCACTAAAATGACGGAAAAGCATAGCATGCCTGCTGAAGTCTGATGCATCACGAAGTATCGAAGCGTGCCGAGCTTTGGCCGGAAGATGCTTGTGCTTGCCTGAGACTGTCGCAACCTTTAATTGCTTCGACACAGTATGGATGGATGCAAAAGACGTCGATGTGGCGGTGGCATTGGTCATCAGTGACACTTGCAGTAAGAGCCCAGGTTCTGCACAGGTACGCCTGAAGCGTAAGGGTCTGATGCGTAAGAGTCGTAAGATCTCCGAATCCGCTTTCCGCCAAGGGGGCGAGCGGGCCGGATCAAGCTTCCCACAAAGATCTTGTGGCACAGCGACTGTCTCTGAAAGCATGGCAGCTGCACAACCAAGCTCCTTACTGCGTCAGTTGTTGCGACCAGATGTGTGTGACAGTCGCAGCCAAAAACAACCACAGCATAGATTGAAACGAACTTGTCTGTACACAAGTCTTTCAGCCCAGGTTGTGGCCAGTGAGACGGCTTTCGGCTCTGGTGCTTACAGCCGCGAACACAACCCTTGGGAGTGTGACATGTCTCCAGCTGGGACAAGAACAAGCAGGGTGGCGACTGTAGCTTGAAAAAGCTGGTGTTCGGGGCAGAGTCAATCACAGTTCGGCCGAGTTGGATGTATACGTCCGTCGTGGATTCCTGGGGGAGTCTAGGTCGCCGTCCCTGCGGTGGGATTCAGAATGGATGGAGAATTCAATGCGGTCACATCAGCACGAGACCCCAACCTGTGCGTGGTCACAGCAGTCGCTTTCTGTCCTTAGAAACTTGAACAGCTCGCTATCCTAGGGCCTGAACTCCCCACCATCCGTTTGGGGCTGTTGAAACACCCATCAGCCACCAACTGGAGTACAACCTGCAAATCTTCCGCACGGCATCGGTCTGGTCAGGATTTCTGGGCTCTGCTTAGCGCGAGATTTTATTCCTAAGTCTGACCGTGGACCGATGGCCTCTTCCCAGCCAAACGGACTGCCACTTCGGCCCCGGGCCTGGGGCCTGGGCCCGCGCCGCCCCCCCGGCGCGCGAGCCGTGTCGGCCACACTTCGGAAAAAAAAGCCATCAAGACTCTCGACGAAGAAGAACACCAAGGCATTCTGCTACAAGTCTCTGCTCGTTTTGGAAGTGGGGATTTCGGCAGTGGCACCGAGAGGCTGCAAGGTCTGAAGCACGAAACCATCGCAGGATCATAACAAATAGCTTCCGAGGCCAATGCCCGGCTCAGACCATGCGGTTTGTTTCGACCTGTCGTCGCGAGGACAGGAAGGATCGGGAAGGTTTGCTGAAAAGTCGCGATGACTCGACTCGCAAAGAGACTTTCCGTCCTCTCTGAGAATCAGAGGGAATTTGTACAGGCCCTCAGTGGATTCCAGGCCTAGCCTTGTTCAGCCAGCTCAGGAGCTTCCGTAAACCCGCTGCAGCTCTGCTGCGAAATTGAATCGAGACTTCTGAATCAACACGAACTGTATCAGTTAATCTTCATTCCGATTAAAGCTTCGGGGATGGCTGTCGGCGTTGCAGCCAAATATCTGACGAAGGGCCATGACGTTTTCGAATTAGTCCCTCCATCATGCAGGAGTAGCCAGATGCTGCTCACATTAAAGAAGTCCTGAAGACTCGCGCCAGGAGCTAACCTTGCACGACGGTCGCACACAGCCCCTCAAGCAACAGGGCCAGAGAGGTGGCTCGGTGAACCTCGACACTTGCCTCACATGCTGATCTAGGCCTGCATCCAACCAACCAAGACAAGGCACATCCGTGCACCAGAGAATTGAGAATTCCTGCAGGTCATTGGGCAAAATAATCATCACCGGCAACATGCCAAGGAGTCGGGAGTCGGGAATGCATCACCAACAGCTCGTGGAATTGACGCTTACATTGCAAGACCAGAACTCCTGAAGATGCGTTTTCGCGTCTAGAGCTGGTAGACCGTCATGCCACCTGGTGACAACTGCACACGTAGAATCACGGCAACAACTCTCCCCCAGGATTTCTAACTGCTGCCTTCGCTGTAGTGCGCCAGACGCTCCAAGCCACGACCTGCGAGTTTCGGTGGCCCCGCTGATGCCGCTCATATCTTGCGGAGTATGAAGGGCCTGGTATAGAAGTCTGTCCTTGTGGAGAAAGCGGAACCTCGCGTAGCATCCGGATAGCGCACACTGAACATTTCCGGCTGCATCACTGGAGTCGCTTGCGCGACATTGAAATCAATCAGTTTCCAAACTCTTGTTGCAACCCAGCCGGGAAGCTCCGCCAACATCCTGGTCACTGGACGAATTACTCAGGTCCTTGGAATCTTGGACGACTCCACATATCTTTGCATGGACAATTGTCCCCTGACCATGAAATCACCAGCACTTGCGCTTCAAAAAACTCAACGGCAAACGTCACGTGGCTCCAGGAGGTAGTAGTAGCAGCAGCAAGCGACAGCCCCCATAGTTACTCCTACTCCCCTTTTCACTCCTGCTCTTGCTCCCTTACACTGCTACGGCTCCTGCTCGTCTCTCTCCACCCGCAAGCATCGGCAGTCGCACTCGTTTCAAAGGGGGGACATAGAGAAACCGGTTGTGACTAGGACAGCTTGACGAATGCCTTTCAGGCAGCGTCAGTGGTAGTAGAGGGGAGTGGTAGTGGTAGCGGCAGTGGTATTGGTAGTGGCTGTGGTAGTGGCAGTGGTAGTAGCACTAACACTAGCAGTAGTCGTCGTCGTCATAACAGTCGTAGCAGCAGCAGCATGGTAATAGGAATAGCGGCAGCTGCTGATGTCCGGACGGCAGTATTGGCATAGTGTTAACACCACTCTTGCAGGAACAGCTCAAACGGGCCAAGGCTCAGATCGGAAGCTTGGAGCAACGACAATCGAATCGGGAGTATCCCTGTCAATTCACCAGCTGCATACTGCGTGAAAGCTAATGAACATGTCACAATCTTCATGTCCAATGCCCCGCCTTGTGTCCTTGCTGGAGGGATCGGTAGGGTTTCCGTCAAGCCAGGCCCGTGCCTCGCTTTTGAAAGCCATTGCACACGGTACATGAAGCGCAGATTTCTGCTGCATGACCAGAGAACCTCCGATCTAAGGCATCTGCACTCGACATCGCCGTGCTGTCCCCCGAAAGGCCTCGGGAAAAATGGAGTCTTGACTTGTTCTTCGACAGGGACGTTCTCCGTGTTCTTCGAGCTGGACACAGGGCATGATGGCACTTAGAGGAACCAATTGCCAGAGCAGATTGAGTGGCATGAATGATGTTACTTCTGACAGCCACACTGTTTTGTCAAAGAGGCTGACATCTGCAGGAATTCGTGGTGCTGCAAAGGCTTCCGTGGGAAAGAGCAGGGAGAACTGATCTTCGATCCTTCATTGCGTTCACACTTCTGCTCAAAGGCCGTCAATCTCCCACAGTTCTAGAGTCTCAGCTTACTGAGGATTCTGCCAGTCCTGGAACTGATCACAGGATCTGACCCTGCAAGCTCATCGAGCTGCGACTTCAGCATGTCTACCGTGACATACTTGTGGAGAAACGAGACCTCGCTGCGCAAGGGCCAACACTTTGAGCTGCGACACTTCGTCCTTTCCAAACGGCTGCCGGGGCTGGCAGCCTCTGCTTCTATTCTGTTGCTTGCTTCATACATCCGCCGTGGGATCTTGAACCGTTTGCAGGCCGGCCCACCAGTCAAAAAACTGCACATGCCAATGCTTTCCGAGACCGCTTCAGCACATGTTTGCATGCCTGTGTACCTAATTTCCGACTACCTCACATAATCCGCGACGCACTGCGTCAGCAGATGCGCAGCCAAAGCGGGCTCGTTGTCAAGCAAGCGGCATCATCTTCAGACTCTTGCCCACCACGAGACTCACTCGAGGGCGAGTGGTGAGTACTTCTTCACTTGAGCTGCACGTTATGTCTGGCTGTGAAACCTCTGCCCGAATGTAACCTTTGCACTCAACATAACGGATAGGTGACATCATTCGCGCAGGATTACAGACAAAGTGAACTGACGAGTCTCGACACTGCCCAACCACAGCAACCAACATAACAGTTTCGACCGATGGCAGAAGCTGCGCCTACTCAATTGACGCGGCCACCAGTTCATGCGAGTGTTGCCGGGGTTGTTCGAATTCAACCTTGCAAAGACTTAACCTCGTTGTTACCCTGGCAAAAGGTTTCTAGCCGAAGCCTCACTTTCTGAAGAACTCGCAGGGACAGACACTGACTCGGTTTGCCATATGCAGTTGGCGGGCTGTCAGCGGCACACGCTGCCCTCCTTCGAACACTTGAGGTGCACTGGGTCCTCAGAGCTGCAAAATTGCAGATCCCGGGGGCGAACACAACAATGGCGAATAAAAATTAGCAGTAGTAGTAGTAGTAGTAGTAGTAGGTAGTGGTAGTGGTAGTGGTAGTGGTAGTAGTAGTAGTAGTAGTAGTAGTACTCGTACTCGTACTCGTACTCGTACTCTTTCTCGTACTCGTACTCGTACTCGTACTCGTACTCGTACTCGTACTCGTACTAGTACTAGTACTAGTACTAGTACTATTGGTGGTGGCAGTCGTCGTCGTCGTCGTAGTCGCCGTAGTAGTATAGTATTACCAGTAGTACTTGAAGTAGTAGCAGTAGCAGCAGCAGCAGCAGCAGCAGCAGTAGTAGTAGTAGTAGTAGTAGGTAGTGGTAGTAGTAGTGGTAGTAGTAGTAGTAGTAGTAGTAGTAGTAATTAGTAGTAGTAGTGGTGGTCGTCGTCGTAGTAGTCGTAGTAGTAAGAGTAGTAATAAGTAATAACTAGTAAGTAGTCAACCGTAAGTACAATAAGTAATATGTAGAAGTAGTAGTCGACATACATGGCTTCTCCTCCTACTGCTACTGCTGCTACTCCGCCTCATTCTCCACCTTCCACTCAGTCTACTCCTACTACTCCTACTACTA